TGTTCTGATAACAGAGATATCGAAGAATTGATATATTTGAAACTCGACGTTTCTCTCCTACTTTCCGAGAACAAGCAGGAATATCAAGCGAAGTGACAAGATGTTTTTCTTTTAACTTTATGAAAAAGTAAAGAGGAGAAGTGCGTTTTGATCAATACTTTTATCTTGAAAAGTCACAATAATGTTTTGAATGATTTATAGAGATCAATATTGAATTATGGACTTACAGAGATAAAATGCTAAAAGAAAAGAATATGAGTGAATTATATATCTTAGATAGAAAATTTCATTTTGATGTCAAATTTACACGTGCATAAAATTGACAATTAATTTAACCAAAATTTATTAAAAAGATACACTGAAAAAATGACTAAATTAATACATATTTAGTTCAATACTACCAAATGAATAATTTATTTGAAACAAATAAATATTTATTTGTTTTGAAAAGGATTTTCTTATATCAAATAAATCTTTTTCATATCAAATAAAATTAAATAAATTAAATAAATATTATTTAATTTATTTAATTTATTTAATTTTATTTGCTTTGAAAAAGATTTATTTGGATCAAACAAATGAATCATTTCGCAGTATTGAAATAAATATACTTATTCGAATTAAATAAATTTTTCTTCAGTGATATATTTTTACCGACATAAGTTTGTATAACATCGAAAGCTATTTCGGAATAGCCTGATTACATACATAAGTACAGACGTTGATTACGGCGTATTTTCGTGGAAGCTTTTTTACCATGATTCGTCGAAAAAAAAATAATGCATACTGTGGATAAAAAACGAACTGTGCAGAGCTTTACCGAGGAATGTATTCGGGAAAAAAAAAGGAGAAGGCGATACTCTACGTACGAAAGTTTCGCGAGAACCGTAAAGTGCCGCCAGTGCTCGGAGGCAGGGCGAACAATTTCGTCGGTTATAAAAGTAATGCGATATCTCGTGCGGAATATGGACCGACGGCGTCCATTATGGAAAAAGCGCGGCTGCGGGAAGTAACGAAAAATTTAGTGCCAAGCGAGACTAATCATTTAGGAACTTTTGCGATGGTACGCGTGGGAATAGGGGTAGCCTTTTTCGCCGCAATATATATTTTTCAATATTCGGCCGGAATCACAGACTCCGGACTGGCAAAGTAAGATGACAATGCTATTGAGAGAGAGGGAAGAGAGAGAAAAAGAGATAGTATAGATATATATATATGTCACTGCTACTTGATTTATGCACCAGGAGCTTTTCGAGGCTTCACGAGTCGAAAGAAAACGTATCAGGAAATTTTGCCACAATTAAAAGTTCATAAATTTGTTAAGAGTGTTCAAGAGTGTTATAAAAAATTATGATTTTTTAAAATAAAAATTAAAATGGGTAATAGAAATTATAAATTACTTTATTTACGATTATTATTTCTTTAAGTGTGACTGAACATTTTTTCTTTCGTGCTGTGTTTCGAATTTTTTTGAATCGAAAGCATGAAATAAATCACAGGATAATTCAAATTATGGAAGGCTGTAATATATTTAATAATACACTGAAAAAATGTTTGTCAAATTAATAAATATTTAATTCATAATACGTTCAAATAAATCATTTATTTAAAACAAATAAATGATTTATTTAATTTAAAATATACTTATTTGATATAAGAAAATTCTTTTCCAAACAAATAAATATTTCAAATAAATTATTTATTTGAACGTATTGAACTAAATATTTGTTAATTCACCAAACTTTTTTTTTAATGTATTTTCGAAAATTTTCGAATATATTTTCATCTGTCAAACGCAATTACTTACAACATATCTTGCGGTTGCAATTAACACCTACTTATATTAAATATCCTTGTTTGATATAAGAAAATCTTCTTCAAAACAAATAAATATTTGTTTCAAATAAATGATTTATTTGAACGTATTGAACTAAATATTTGTTAATTCACCAAACTTTTTTTTAAATGTATTTTTGAAAATCCTCGAATATATTTTCATCTGTCAAACGCAATTACTTACAACATATCTTGCGATTGCAATTAACACCTACTTATATTAAAACCTACTTATATTAAAATATCCTTATTTGATATAAGAAAATCTTCTTCAAAACAAATAAATATTTGTTTCAAATAAATGATTCATTTGAACGTATTGAACTAAATATTTGTTAATTCACCAAACTTTTTTTTAAATGTATTTTTGAAAATCCTCGAATATATTTTCATCTGTCAAACGCAATTACTTACAACATATCTTGCGATTGCAATTAACACCTACTTATATTAAAACCTACTTATATTAAAACCTACTTATATTAAAATATCCTTGTTTGATATAAGAAAATCTTCTTCAAAACAAATAAATATTTGTTTGTTTCAAATAAATGATTTATTTGAACATATTGAACTAAATATTTGTTAATTCACTAAACTTTTTTTTAATGTATTTTTAAAATCCTCGAATATATTTTCATCTGTCAAACGCAATTACTTACAACATATCTTGCGATTGCAATTAACACCTACTTATATTAAAATATCCTTGTTTGATATAAGAAAATCTTCTTCAAAACAAATAAATATTTGTTTCAAATAAATGATTCATTTGAACGTATTGAACTAAATATTTGTTAATTCAACAAATTTTTTTTTAGTATATTTTTAAAAATCCTCGAATATATTTTTATTTGTCAAACGCAATTACTTACAACGTATCTTGCGGTTGCAATTAACACCTACATCCGTCTAAACGAGAATGTACCACAGCGCATATTCAACAGTATATATCAACAGCGGCACTACTTGTCAGCCACATGAGCTTCTCTCTCAGCCACAGACATCTATACTTACACCAGACCGCTAATACCGTTGGTCGGCGTGATACGGAATTCAGGTATACAACGTGGCACAGGAAATGCCAATCATCGAATAGCAGTCATATGTCGGTATGACTTGCGCGCGCGTATGTCATTAAAAATGATCAGAAATGAAACGCGAAAGAATAATGCGCGTAATAGTAATAAAATGAAATCATAGAGTCATAAAATTGTCAACACGGTGCTGCGCCATCTTACGTTCGCCGCAAGAAAATGCACGACTAATTTGCGCACATGGCTGCTATCGTCGTCGCCTGAGATTTCCATCCTTCGTTTCTGTTCATTGTGTTTACCGCTATTAGCGGTCTGGTCTAATGTAAGTATAAGCCGACCTTCTTCTCCTCGTGTTATTTCTGCGAACCGTTCGTTTGCACGTTTGCTGTTTAAATGTACTCTCGCGGTTGTAATCTTCGCAGCTCGCGTAAGCACCGTGATTCTGCTAGATGAACAATTTCACTTCACTTCACTCGATGGCTAACAAATCGACATTCGTTATTGACAACACGTTGTTGCGGCTTTGAATAGTCGTCAAATATTTTTTTTAGTTATAATTGAGATTCGAGAAATTGCGTGATGCTTAAATAACATGTGCAATTTTATATTACACATCAATAAAAATTGATTTGTATAAAATAGTTTGAAGTGGATGAGAGATAATTATGAAGACATTCCAGATAAATTTTCTCTTAATTTTATTGTCATAAATATTGAATATTAGTACATTAAATTTTTTGATCGATTGGACATGTTTTTTAAAATTCTTTTGTAGAAATGGAAAATATCTTTTTTTATTATCACACTTTTGTCTCATAATTTAAGGATCATGTACCGCAAGCACAAGTGCTCGATAATGGATGATGTAATCGCCTGCGCCAAATTACATTTCCAGCGTTAAAAGTGCAGGAAGACTGAGAAAATATAGGCTCTATAGAGTGCCCTGTAATTTTATATCGATCATGTTCGCGCGGTTTCTCTTGTAATACGACGGGATGGGATCATTTAATACTGTGTTCTTAAAGGTGTTATTATCTTAGAAAAAAATCATCAAAAATTTGTTCCATACAGATATTTATATAGATATAAATGATCTCATTTTCTTTTATATTTTATTAGTATTAAATTATTTTAGCTACATATCGAGTAAAACTTTATCTGTTTCCGGTAGCGCATCTGTTTTCGTGGAATTAAAAAACTTTGTTAAAGCCATTCGTTTTGTACTCCAGTTTCTCTTCGCGCTTTTTTACCCTTTGTTTGCTTTCTGCATTCTCGCAAAAAAAAAAAAAAAAAAAAAAACTGCCAATCGGCAGACAATACCGATTGAAATCAATACATCCCGACTTACGCTTTATTTGCGATGATATTTCTGATTGCAGTCACGTTTCTGAAGTGAATATGCACTTTTCGAATTATCGTACGAAAAAAAAGAAGAAAATTGCGAAAACATTTCCTGTGCAATTATTGGTCATGCATAGGAGAGAGTTGCATACTAAATTCCGTAAACAAGATGCACCTGTATATTTGTGTGTTAACATATCACTTTCATCGATAATCATGACTTGTTAGAAAGTCTCTTAAATAATATGCGCTCATATAAGTATCGCGCGTACACAAATGATAGCGATCATTTTTGTATAATGACGGTTCACTTATTACCTCTAATCCCAATTAAAATCCGTTGTTAGCGTAGAAATGTGTTCCCCGATAATGTTGTTACGCATAAATCTTGGACGGTTACTATATGCCTTCCTCATAAATCATAGCCATTATGTAGTAAAACTATTACTCAAATATAGATACCGCGAAGATAAACTTGACGAAATGGTAGTTGCCTCAATCTCTCGAGTCATCAATCATCTCTGATTTGTATACACAATTGAAAACTGAAGGATGAGACTCGAGTTTCAAGCGAGTAAATAAGAAGAAGATCATTTATTTCGCAACACTAATTTTTCCATCGAATTTTTTATTTATAATTTTTAATTGCGTCATATTAATTTGAAAAATATATTTTAATTAAGTGTTGAAAACTTAATACTTGCTAAAATATTTTTTTATTCGTTTTTTACACTTTTAATAACAAAAAATACAATAACTTTATTGATTAAAATCATATTAGCTGTTTCATTTTTTTTTTTTATATAGCTATTGTCTTCTATTTCGACATGGAAATTATGCAAACATCCATGAAATATTATGCTATTTCGCGATTATGCTCTTTCAATTTGCAACGCGCGAGATGGCTATATTATTATGTCTTTTCTAATGCATTCGATTATCTTGTAATTGCAGCACGATGCAATTACGAAATAGCAATCGATAAATTCTTTCGTGGAAGGACATACGGTCGATCGATTATTACGGACTCTTCCGCGAGGATAAAGCCGGGTCTACAATGAGTCGGTAGTCAGAAGTCGTAAGATGTAAGTCTTAATACATCGGTGACTCTACCATTTTTCTCATCTTTCAAACGTGAAGCGTTTGATTGATCAGTCGTAAGCAAATCGGTAGTTGGTGTCGTAAAAGTTGGTTGTTGGCCAATTCCACTGATTCACCGATTAGGACCTACCCTAGCAAACACAGTATATAAATGTTATATGCTTAAGCAAAATTTACCTTAGAGGATACGATTTAGTATATTTTTGCCTATTTAACATTACTCTTAATTAATTAATATTAATATTATTTTATTGCAGTAAGTGTATTTTATTGAAATTAACACATGTATGACATTAATTCCCAGATAGCACCATGTCGACAATTGGTGCATAAGACATCTTTAAGATGCTTTTAAGATGTCTTTGGGATATCATATCATATGATTTCTTAAAGATGTCTTAATAAAGATTTTGTAATGATATCTTATGTACCAATTTTAGACATGGTGCTATCTGAGTTGTATTCAATACTAGAGTTTAGTGTGCAATATTTAGATCATCTATGTATTTAAGTACCATATCGTGGTTACAAAATGCTGCTTGAATAATTTTCTTTCATGATCTTCAAAACTCTTTCGTACAAAAGCTTTGGCGCATCTTTAGCCCAAATAAAGCCCGCGTGATTAAAACTGGGCCGCGGCACTTCGTACATATCTATTACGTTGGGTAGTAAATTGTACAACCTCTTCACATCCTTGAAGAAACGTTTTCTGAATTATTATGCGCGAAAATTTCTTATATTTCCGATTATAAAGATACGAAATTTTATCTACATATATACAAAGTTAAGTTACAATCTCTACTATAAAAACTTCTACACTATTTATTAATAAATAAATACTTTTTTATTACTTACAATGGGATCTGCAAACAAGTCGTTGTTGCTGTAGTATATCGCCATCGGTAGCGTGATACTCGATAGATTATACTCTGGAGGTTCCACCGATTTATATATCATGAGATTTTTCGTTGGACCGTAGTCATATTGACGAGTCTTACCCGATTGGATTACTTGAACATAGTGCACTACAGTCTTAACCGAGACGGCGGCGGGTAAGTGGCTTACGATAAATGGCAGATGAGTCTAAATAAGGAGTAAAAATATGTACTACATATATACACATATACATACATACATACGTATATGTATGTATATGTATATACAAAGTACAAAGTTCGATCTGAAATGTTATCGCACGATCCTGAAATGTATAAGGATCATACTTCGATCGCGACATTTTACAGAAGATTAGAAAAGGAATAATAAAAATGAGGAGCATATATTATGCGCGACAAACTTGTCTGTACATTTTTTCCATTTATGTTTATTATATAAAGAAATATATTTAATTTTTTTATATCTGTTTAAATTTTTATTTCCTAAATATTATTATAAAGAAAATTATTAAATAAAAATAAATAATTATTTAATAGTTAAATAATAAATATTTAATCTCATTCTCTCTTTTTTCCCGAATATTAAATATTACAAATTTATAATATAATTTTATAATATTTTATACAACAAATAAATAATTTTTAAATTCTTCTCTCTAGTTATCTTAATATAAAACATTTAAAAAGGAATTACAAAGCAAGCAAAGATAAATAACAATAAAATTGTTTTTTTGTGTAAATTAATTAGAGAAGAATATAGAGACAAGTTTGTCGTGTTTAATATAAGCACCTAATTTTTATTAGTCATTTTATATGTGGTTTTGTATTTGTATATTAGTCCTTTTGTAATTCATTATTATAATTTGCAGAAAGAATTATTACTCACTAAATTTAATTGCTCGGGGTCGTAACCGTTGGGAGTAAATATGAGAAAATTGGCGCACACCTCCGCAAAATAAAAATTCAGGTTGCAACCAATTAACGTCTTTAGTATGTTATAAGCACTTTGCGGGATTAATTCGTCATGGAACAATAATCGCAATATTGGCTGCAATTAACAATCTCTTTATTTCATGATAATAATTTATTCTTAAATCTATACTCCTTCAAATTTTTAGTCAAATTTTTCAAGAATAAGAAAATATAAATTTCTCAGCATATTATTATATGAATGAAGACAGTGGTTCTTAATGACCTTTTTAAAGTTACAGAACACTTTTGATTATAAGAAAAATTTGCGGAACACCAAAATCATTAATATTATAAAGGTAATAACAAAAATATGCATGAATATATTTTTTATTAAAAATGATACAATACAAATTATGTAACAGTAAAAAAATTTAAATTTAAATTTAAATTTAAAAAATAATATTTATAAAATTAAAAAAAAATTATAGTAGTTTTTTTCTATGTATAGATATGCTGTGCTTTTATAATTTCGCGCAACACTTGTAACACGTTCGCGGAACACTAATGTTTCGTGGAACAATTAAGATAATGTATAGAAGCGATATTTTATATCAGAGATATAAATAAAAGATAAAATCATGTTTTTGTTTGTTTTGACAGAAAAATAGTGTTCTAAACAGTTATTTACAATATGAATTATTTTTTAATAATATTCACATATTATATTATATTACCTCAATCTCATTTATCAAATAAAGTATTAGTCGTGTTGGACTTCTCATATGATCTGCAAAAGCTCCTGGTCCGAAACTGACCATCATTTTCACCTTTCTAGCAATTTTTGGACGCTCTGTTGCCATTATGTAAAATCCAGATGTGCCCAGAGAATGACCAATGTACGCGTGTAATGGTTGTGATCTCATATTCGTAATATATGTAATCATCGCTGGTACATCATAGATGCCCATTTCGTGAAAACTGATAGAAAATACAATATATCATCATAATAAAATATTTAAATATATATACACGTACATATACATATATATATATATATATATATATATATATATATACACACATACATGAGAATATACACTTCTGTATATACATTATATACATAACATATATGTATATGATATAAAATTATACATTTATAAAGTGTGCTATAAGTTCGGAACTGTTCAGTATTTCGAAAAAAGTGTTGGAAATAAAAATTATGATAAAAAATGTTTAAAAAACTTATATATTAGATGATATTATTAAGATGATACTAAAACAGCTTGAATTTTTAGAATGTGATTATTATAGGTATTTTTGTTTAAGTAAAAATTAATTTCTTAATTAGAATATTCTGCATAAGAAATAATAAAGGTATAATAATAAAAATTCTATTGTTTATAATGTATTTTATATTACACGTGCAGGCAAAGTGTCACTTTGCTTGCACGTGTAATACAAAATAGTATGTGTATCACGTGCAACTTTCCGCACTTGATACACAATATACTATTATACTTTAATGTAACTAAATAATTGTATACATATACATATATGTATTTACATATGTATATACATTTATACATATATATGTATTTTATACTTTAATGTGACTGAACAATTGTATACATATATGTATTGTGAAATATATTGTAATATATTCAATTTCCAAAGATTTTAATCTCAATATTTTTTTATACATGTATGTATAGTAAATATTGATGTTTATCTTATATCAAGTCTGGAAAACGCACTTTTCGGTCACCAAAAAATTTTTTTATATAAACTTAAATAAAATATCTCTGGAAAAGTCACTGTCACTATCCTTAACATGGATTATTACTTGATGTATAATACTTTGCGTGCAAATGTTTTATTACATTATTTATAACAGAATTATCAAAATTTTATTACGAATAATTATTTATACAAAAAAATAAAAAACCAGGAAAGCACTGTATTGGAATATTGATAAATGAATATGAGATGTTTGCCACAAAAGATAATTTTTAATTTCATTGCAATTTTAATAAATTTGTATTTACGAAAACTTCACAAAAAAGTAAAACTATTTACTTTAAAAAAAAATTTTTTAATTTTATGAGAATACCTAAAGTCCCAGTATTTCCATTCTGATGTTGATAAGGAAATGTGCTCCCTCGAATAAGTAGTACCACGTAAATTGCCCAACCAAACATCGTATCCCTGATCCGCTAATAGATAAGCTAGAACACAAAATTAAAAACATTTGCAACATATTATTATTTGTATCTTTTTTTCATATTCGATATTTTTTGTAATATTCTTTCGTAGAAATATTATTATAACAAAATTAAAACCGTAATTTGATTTATAATTCACTCATTACAATTTCTAAAGTAAAATCATATACGTAAAATACATAAATATGTAAAATATATGCATATAAAAATATATACTTACACCTATCATGTAACAAATTTTAGAAATTTAATTTTCTTTAAAAAACTTTTTTAAAATAAGTTGAACTAAAAATTAATCGCAATTAAAAGTGCATTAAAATGTTTTTTTTGTTATTTAAATTCGATATTTGTCTTTTATTGTTAGATACTTTTTAATTAAAAATAAGATTAAGAAGCTGCTGCCCTATTTATCGTCCGAGCGGTTATTTCTTTTTAGACAAGTAATTATTTTTATACAAAATAAGAGCACAAACTTGGAATTGATAAAGGAATATAAGTAAATATTTAGATATCAGTTTGAAAACCTAGTAAAAGAGAATAGTTTATCTAATGTGTATTCACATATGCACGAAAATTCTTGATAAGCTATTCTCTTTTACTAGGCTTACAAATTGATATCTAAACATTCACTTATATTCCTTCATTGAATTTCAAGTTGGTGCTGGTCTTATTTTGTATGTATAAAGTGTCAATGAAAAGAATTACTTGTCTAAAAAAAAATAAATAATCGCTCGGTCGGCATCCTCTTAATAATGTGATCTGATTGACACTGCTGGTATAATCTTTCGATGATTAATTAAAAAGTTTTACCGAGTGCTTTGCCTTTGCCAAGAGTGATCCAAACAATGTCAGTGCTAAAAGCACCGTGTACTAGTAAAACAGGTAGAGAGCCGTTTTCACCTGGGATACGATGTAATGTCAAAATATAGCCATCTTTTGTTGTTACAACGTGAGTTTCCGAAGGATAACCCGTTTTTTTAATTATCTCTGGCTGAAAGGAGAAAGAATAAAATGGAAGTATAATTTATTTTTATATTAATGTAACGTTTTGTAATAACAACATATAAATATGAAAGGTCATATACAATATGTGATAAATATAAAGAATAGTTATATGGTAATAATATAATAGTGAATAATTATAAAATCTATAATCAAATAAAATAAACGTTAATGATATCTAATTAAGTATAGAATTATAATATTCAAAATATAATTATAGAATAACCATATTCTTGCAAGGTGAGTGTAAAACTCAATTAAAATTATTTTACAAAGAAATTGTAGAGGATTATATATCTTGCTGTCCATATCTCTCTCTTACGTATATTATCGTTATTGAACAAATTTTTATAATTATTTCATAATTTTTTTATTCACAAAAATATTTTTATTCATATTAAATCCTTTAAGGGGATGCTGCAGGTATGTTAATTTTTACCGACCGAATGCGAATATTGATTATTTTGGGATATCTTTTTATTGATTATACAGATTATTAAATCCATTTCCACGATTAAAATACTTATAAAAACGGACCGCGTTAGCTATAATTCTATTGTATATATAAATCATATAAAAATGAAAAATTACAGTTTTGTTATCGGCTTTTTTTGTGTCAGTTCGTAACAATACTTATTTAATAAAAAAAGTTCTGCAGTTTGTCTGTCCATAAGATATAGCTCGCGCAATAGGAATAACAATTAGAAGTGAGATTACAAATCTAATAACAAAGTTATGTATTAATAAATTTTCACGCATATGTGTGTGTATACATGTGTATATGTGTATACACGCAGTTATGTGTGGCGTTACCTTATCGGAGTTCGGCCGTCAGTCCAGCATCCCCTTTAGGATATTATAATAAACGTTATTAGAGAGAGAAACTGCATATAATGCATAATAATTAGAAAAACCTATCTAATAATCGATATCTAAGTATGGTAATTTAACTGTTGAAAAACAGGCTGTAAGAACAGGCCGTAACAGAAACAGTGTATCAGTAAAAACGTGCCTTAAAGAATTATTGATGCAAATTATGTTAAGTTGCATGTTTGTCACATTAATTCATTTTATTATTTCTAATGTAATGCATCGTGTGCACGATTCTTTGTTTTGTCTTTGCAATGCCTACATTTAAACTCATGTAGCACATTTCGAACATTTGTTTATCAAATTAATTTCTAATTAAATAATATTTACACGTCTCTTCCTGTTTTATTTTAATTTCTTAAGGTCATTTTCTAGATATTGCGTGACCTCATGAAAGTAGTAAAATTTTGAAACATCTGTACATGTTCATTATGACGTATTTTAAAACAAAGATACATTAAATAGCAATTAACTTTAAACGATATTACAAATTAAATAAAATAGTTCTAAAAAGTCTATAAAATATTTTTAAGAACTACTTATTTAAAGTTAATGTACATCTAATTTTGGGAAATTTCGATTTCGATCATGAACAATAAAAGTGGCAAGAACGGTATACAGGGTGTCACTTAATTCACGTCCTCTAAGTATATAGGTCCATAAAGCTAAGCTTTTGTAGCCTTTTTTTATTCAATAATTATTTCTTTATTAAATAATATAGAAAGAAATCGCGTAGAAAAAAATATTTTTTTGGTATAAGGAATGATGCTATTATATTTATATGACTTACAATTAGCGGGCGCGAATTAAGTGGCATATGTAAAAAGATCGCGTTTTTAATCAATTCTTCACAGCGATGAAGAAATTAATTTAACTGGAATAATGAAAACTTTAATACGCATTTCGTTTAGTTAAACGTTTATACTTACAGTGCTGAGATTTAAATCGGAATTGATTTCTGCGTTGTTCCATTTAGGTCGAATTATGCTTTTCTTGGACTCGTTTGACTCGGTGGTTGCATTCCTATCAAGACAAGCGTAAAACAATAACAAACACATAAATCCGATCAATTTTATTCTATCCATAAGTGAATTCACTAAACAGTGAATGAAAATGGACAATTTGAGAGTCTTCTGGTATATATATTATCGAATGAAACCAGTTAGCCAAATGAATAATAACTGAGCGCGCATTAACGTTTTGTTCACTATTTATGAATGCTGCATTGATGACTTGTGATATTACACTAATGAAAAAAGAATAAATTACAGATTGATGTAAAGAACAAATGATTCACTGTATTATCGACCACGAGTCATCTAAGTATTGATTCAACCGTTTGTAGATTTTTTCATATATTATATGTAGATATAATATTTTGGGGCGCGTGCTTGTTCGATAATTAATGTTTCGCCACTATCGCGGATCGGGAGAGGATATTTTATCCGGAAATATTAATTTAGGGTGCAAAGTATATTGTATTTCACTGCATTTATTCGTGTCACAAAGATCTAACAACAACAAACTTTTTACTCTCCACCGAGAAAAACCGTGTTATGCGAACTTAAGTCAAATTCTATCTGCCTCTTCGAGGCCGCGCATTGTCTCGCTTCTCTCGATCATTCCACGACCTTATTTTTATTTTTAGGTGATTAGACTATCTTTTATTTTGAAGTACTCTCGCTTTTTATTATGTTCGGAAATCGAAATTTACCTTCGTCATGTTAGTCGCTTATTTGTTTATTTATTGTTTTGTGTCACCGGTCGCGATATCCTTAACACTCGTCGCTTGTAATTTAAATTTTATTTTTATATATATTTTATGTGCTTGTGGCATTTATCGCCACAATATGTATATAATCCATATTGTACATGTATCAAAAATTTATAAATTGTTAAAATTATAATAATATAATGTAAAAGGCGTGGACATCTAGCAAACGATATTTTTGAGTACTTTGAATCATTGAATTATAGTATTTATATATATATATATATATATATATATATATATATATATAAATATTTTCTTTTCATAATTTAAAAAATTTTTTTGTACAGAAGTGTAGGCTCATTCTCGACTCATATAAAGTCCACGTGATTAAAATTAGGCCACTTTGTGTCACACAATTACGTTCGGCAGTAAATTGTATATAATCTCTTCTCATCCTTGAAAAAATATTTTTCTAAGTTTTCATTCGAGTTTTGTTTATATAACTATTACTTTTTTAAACTACTTTCTCAATTTAGTAAAACTAATTTTTTATACAAAACAATCTTTATTATAATTAATAATTTTCTTTTTATCAATGTTTTTTACAACGGGATTATACTGTATTTCGCACAACAGGATCGACCATCAAATCGTAGTTGGCATAAAATATTGTAATCGGTACTATAATACTAGATACATAATAATCCGGAGATTTTATCGATAGTGAATAATGAGAAAAATAAAATCGAATAAACATTAATATCTGATTAAGCATATAATTATAATTTTCAGAAATTATAAGATAATTATTGTATTCCTACAAGATAAAGTGTAAAATTCAATTAAAATTATTTTAGAAAAAAATTGTAGAGCATAATATTGTTATCCATATCTTTCTTTTACATATGTCATCGTTATTGAAATAACTTTAATGATTATTTCATAATTATAATACACATGTAATTATGTATTTATTTTTAACCACTTTAAAATATACTATAATTTTATTAGAGAGAGAAACTGCATATAATGTATTATAATTAAAAAAATTTATCTAATAATTTATATATTAATGATAAACAACCAACCAATATCCAAGTATGAAAAAGCTTTACAATACGTCGTATGTCGAGAATTTTGTTTTCGAAAAAGAAATTTTTTCGTTGGACCATCGCTCACGTTCCGACATCCGACTTGCGACGTATTGTAGAACCGATTGAGACTTACGACTTCCGAATACCGACTCATTGTAGACCCGGATTAATAATTGACACCCGGCCTATTATCCTTACGAGAGCCAAGCTCTCTTGACCGGTGTCAAGTCATCAATGGGTGTCGTCGATGTAGCCTGTGTTTGCCGGAGTTATTCATAAGGGATCATCTTTCTCTTTTGCAGAGGCCGAATGCTGCATCGGCGAGGCCGCTAGCGAGGCATGCTGGGAACCTTGTTACTGCGTCCTCCTGCAGGACGAGCAGACCCTCACGGCTTACAGAAGCGAGGACATGGCGGTGAGTACGTTTTACCGTAAAAGCCTTTCCGATTCTCCTGGATTTATCCGCATGCGATATTCTCGTAAGACGGATTTACATGCCACATCCTAGATTTATTCTGCTTCTTGTCATATTTTTTTAATAACGCGTTTTCGCGTAATTGTGATTCTTTTAAATACTATTAAACAATCAGTGACTCTCGAACATCAAAATTTATTGGGTTGAGTCATAAATGAGTTCAGTTTGATTTAACAAACTGAATTTTTTATATTTAAAATTATTTACAAATAAATTGTAATGTATTATATCTTCTTTATTATAAAATATTATACCATTTTCTGTTAAAGGATAAATAATTAATTCTTTCGTCGAAGAATTTTGGAATTTTTTTTTAAAGTAATAAATTTTAAAGTGATGGAAATCTGATGAACTAAGATTCGAAAAATAAGGAAAATATGATAGAACTGATCACGAAAGCTCCAACATTTTTTCCCAGATTATTTTAGCAGTATGATAAGAGTTGATCGTTTTTTTTTTTTTTTGCAATTTCTCTTGTACTCGTTATACATCTGCTGTGTTTCATTTTTCGATTTAAAAGCTCGTGATTTTTCAAAGGAAGAGTAATTCAATAATAATAATAATAATAATCTAGCGAAACCTATTTTATGAATCAACCCGATATATCGAAACCCGATAAATATTGAGAATCGATGAAAGTAATTGAACTCTCTCTTGCTTTCGCGAATTTTATCACTCGCAGAGTTCGCAACTGAGAGCATAATTTCAATTCCAAGAGTTTCCCACTGTTACTTTGTAAACCGCTTCGCTTGTTTACGTACACAATATCTTGAAATTGGCACACCAGAGAATCTGTTTGATCGGGTCGGCTAAAATGCCACGTGGCAAAGGGACGTTGACTCCTAATTCGATTAGAAAGTTTATACTCCATTGACTGACACGAGCCGAACACATGAAACGCTTTGAAGACTTCGGTCTTCCACCCGTAATCGTCTCCGATGTGTGCGTGCTATTGGATCCATCGATTCTCGAAGTCCCTTGTTTCCCCTTTCGTTCAGGAAAAACGACTTCTATCAATATGTTGTAGCAGAACGATTTGTGCTGCTTCGCGACGCTCGATGTTCCGTTCGGTTAAATTTATAGGCGTAACACAATGTGCGGCTCACGTATTATTTTTTGTCAAGAGCATCGTGAGTTGCACGAATTCGGTCCCGTAATCCTGCTGGTATGGACACATACCGGTGTATTTTTAGATTATTTTCACTCCGATCGCTCTGTCACTCGTTAAATTCTGCCCGCACAATTCTACGTCTTCCGTTATTAAAATACAGGGGTGAGAGAGATTTGCTTTAGAATTGTCTAATGATACTTTAAGGGATTGCAAATGTCACTGGGTATTTACATAAATATTAAGAAGATATTTTCACCCTGCACTTTGCTCTTCAAATATAGAGAGCAAATATATGAAGACATGCAAGAGTGGCTTCTCTGACTCTTAGAAACGCAAATGTGTAAAACTACCTTAGATGTCACAAGCTACACAATTGACTACAAACTTCCCTCTACAAGGATACAAGATTCAAATAAAATTTCTCGATACTATATATCGTATATCATAAAATATTGTACCCTTTATTAGAAGCTTAAGTGATTACTATTTATGATACTCGTGATTAATATTTTATTTTATATTTTATATATTTGACTAGCAGTTTTTAATTATTCAGTTGAATTTTAATTTACTAATTCGTATTTTCGTGAAGTTCTGACTCGAAGAAAAATAAGGATATTATAAAAATAATAAATATTATGAAAATATAATATTTATTATATAAAATATAATAAATATTATAAAATATTATCAAAATATAATAAATATTATAAAATATTATAACAATATAATAAATATTATAAAATATTATAAAAATATAATAAATATTATAAAATATTATAAAATATAATAAAAATATAATAAATTATAAAAATATTATAAATATTATAACAATATAATAAATATTATAAAATATTATAAAAATATAATAAATATTATAAAAATGTAATAAGGATATTATAAAAATCGAAGAAAAATAAGGATATAAAAAGAATAGAGATGTAAATAAGAAACGCGAAATGATGGAAATTTTATGTTTCGAAATTATTTCGCTTTTTTCTCTCTGTATCTCCGTAGATCTTCTAGAGTGTGTTTTCAATTTCTTTCTTTCCATCTCTAGCCCCGAAGTAAACTCCGATTGTTATTCGAAGGAGCGTATTATTATCTTCGGTTACACATAGCGAAAGCTACTTTTCTCCGAGAACTTTCCCATGTCGACACAATTCACAAAGTCCTCGAACGATATTATAAATGTTGATAGAAAAATGTTTTAATAATAAATAATTATTTCAAATATTGACAGCTATATATTAGCATTTTTTATTTTATAACAATGATTACTGCAATAATATGAACATTATTGACAGCAGTTGCATTGATAATAATATCGATTATTTGGAATCTGGAATAAAAAATATGTAATAGTATAATAAAATATTTAATATATTAAAAAATATTAAAAACATCAAATACTAAAAAATTATTAAATTTCTATGAAACAGTACTTTGGAAAATTTATACTACTGCTCGATTCACTTTTCTCTATTCAGCTATAAAAATATATTTTGTATAATTTTATTTATTTTCAAAATTTATCTTCAAAGGCAAAAATATCGGTAGAATTTAAATCTTTTATGTCTTGAAGTATTAATACGTGAATTGTGCAATAAAGTCCCAAGATATTTCCACGTGATGAAATCTTAAGATGTCTAAATTGTGGGAATACTTATTTCGATTTCGCGACGGCGTGTTTGAGCCAACATAAGTGGTAGCTATTATGTATTTAAGGTCGTCTGAGGCTTTCGCAAAATTTACTCTACAAAGAACGCAACTTTTTCTACTCGTATTTCGCATGAGAGAGTTTCACGAATTTATTTCTATATACCCTGCCCGTATTCAGCAATCGCGGTCGTGAGTGGTTTCTTCTTTGTGACAAAGAACTTTTCTCGATAACAACGCCAATATAGTTCTTTACGAGCATCATTAGTCGTTTTGAACTTCAATTTACGACATATTAAATATGTTGTTATATTAAATTAATATATTTTTCTGTTTCAAAAGAATGCAATATCTGTATTATATTTGTATCTCAGGTTTCCTATATTTTGTATGTGATTTATTTTTTTCAACATTCCTTTCTTATCGAGATATTGCATTATTTTATGTTAATATATTTTAAAATTAAATTTATGTTAAAATATTTTTTATTTATTAAATTTATTTTAAAATTAAATTGCAGTTATTTTATATATCTATATGCTGTAAATTAATATACGTATATTATTTGTGTATTAATTTATTAATATCGTAATGGAATATTTAAAATAAAAAAAGATTAAAAATTTTATTTAATCAGCTTTTTGGACTTTAAGGATTCGCTTTCATATATTGTGCATAATTGTTTCAAAATGTTTTTTATTTTTTCCACTTTAACAAATTTTTTTGCAAT